AAATACCATCATAATTAGAGAAATGGTGTTTCACTGATGACATACCAGAGAAGTCAATTTGTAAGCAAATAACCAAAATGCAATGTTAATTAATGAAAAATAAATAAATTTAAAAAGATTGCACATTAGCTACTAGAAAGCTATTCTGTGTATATTTTTAATACCACATTATTTTCTATTGCTAAAGTAAATTATGAAACTTAATGTCAATATTTCATTATATATATATATATATATATATATGCACTATATTCCAATTTTAATGCAAAATAAAAGTTCATGTGATGTTCTTTGGGGTTCCATAACATTTTTACCACATTTCACATTACTTACCACTGTATTTCAATAAAGAGAAAAAAAAAAATTAAAGTCAAAAACTACTTAATTTCCTGCCTGATGTCTTTGAAGGAGACGTTGAAAGTCATATATAGCTCATGTTTGTATGGATGATGTAAGGATTATAGATTAAGTAAAACCAAAACTAGTTATCAAGTTGATTCCAATCCCATGTGTGCCAGAGTAGAACTGTGCTCCGTAGTGTCTTCAAAGGCTAATTTTTCAGAAGCAGATTGCTAAGCCTTTCTTCCAAGGCACCTCCACGTGGAGTTGACTTTCCATTCTTCTGTTAGCAGCTAAGGACTCAATGATTTGTACCACGTAGAAACTAGATTAAGCAATGAATCCAAAAAGTTACTAAAATTTTCTAAAAGACAATCATGCTGACTAACACATACTTATATGTACATATATATAATAATGTTGTTGTTGTTGTTGTTATTTGCCGTCGAGTCGCCCCCGACTCATAGCGACCCCTCCTTGGGTTTCCGAGGCAGTATCATCACGGAAGTAGGATTGTCCAACCTTCCTTCCGAGGAGTGGCTGGTGGGTTTGAACCGCCAGCCTTCTGGTTAGCAGTCAAGTGCCTTAGGCACTATGCTACCAGAGCTCCTTATATATAATAATACATGATAGAAAATTTATTTAAAACTATCTGTCAAGAAAAAGAAGTAACTGCTGTATATAATATAGATATTATTTAGAATTTAAATAAAGACAAATTATAAAATGTTCATTAAAATTAATGCCACATGGGCATTTTTTTGATATTAAAATCTGTGTATTTGGTTTCTAATGTATTTTCTGAAAATGTTTGTTTTTGTTTTTGATGTGTATCTACTTATCACAACTTAATCTTCAAATTCTGTTTCATTGCCAATATCTTAATGCTTGTTTTTCCAAATCAGGTAAGGATATATGGGCTGATAATATGGAGATGGGAAGAAAGAATGCTTTATCCTCACAATTCTTCCTCCTTAGTTTCTATTACGGTACATTCTGAAACTCTAATCAGAGATCTTTGTTCTTCACCTTTTGTAAATGCAGCATTTTAAAGGCTTAATGTACCAAAAATAATTATTATAGAATAAGGAACTACTGGCACACTGTGCAGAAATTTCATACATAATTTGTGAATCCATTTATAAATGTCTTTTACTGCAACCATCATTAGATAGTATATTAATACTCAAGCTATTACATTGCCAGATAAATTTGTCAATATACTTAATGTCACTGACTTAAAGTATTCTGAAATAATATTTCACTAGAATTCTCAAAAAGTATACTTTATTACCTAACACATATTTTCAGAAAATGCTTCAAAAAATAAAAACATTTACACACATTGCTTATCAAAGCAATAAAACCCCCTCTAAAAAACTCTTTTTACTAGAATGTGGTCTTTAAAACAACTTTACAAAGCATGTTGTATTTATGTAATATAGAACAGACAAAAATGTCAAATTGTGTATACCTAAGTGTGCATGTGTGTAGATACAACATAAACTAAAAAGAATTTACCAATCTGGACTTCAAAGCAATAACAATACCCAAAGGGAAATTAAAATATTTACCGTGATTATAACATAGTAGAATATTGTAGGTTTTTCTTTTACTTGAGAAAATTTATAGTCCATTAGATTTTGGAAAATAGACATAATAAATATGACTGAAAATAAATATAACAACTATGATAATTTTTCCATGAGCCTAACACATTTAATACTATTAATCATTTATGTGATTTGTAAAAAGAAGAAAAATTAAAGTTAAAAGAAATTAAGAAAAATTAGCTAAGAAATTGAATGTTTCTAATATAATGTGAGGCTTTAAGAGCTATAAGAAAATTACTTACCTGTTATAGCATTATGTAGCGTAAATTCACTTCTTACTCCTTTGCAAGCATGTAAACTAGCAAGATACACATAAATTCATTGTATTATTATTATTTACTCAGAATAGTTTTAAGCTATTGAAACTTTAATGGTAATACAACTTGAAATATATTATATAACAATAATTTATATCAGAAGTATTATTATAGGATGATATGCAAAAAATCTTAACACAGATGTTCAATTCCCATGTGTGTTAGAAAATAAGTCATAAAATGGTTTGCCATATTGCAAAAATCTGCACTATTATCTAAATTAGAAAATCAAGACAAATAAATTGCTACATTAACCTTTCGGAATTACAATTTAATTATTCTCCACACACCAGTTCACATTTATACAAGCTTTTCTTATGAATTAATAAGTCATTTTGCTTAATTACTCAAATGGTGTTCGAAGTCCTAATTTTCACAAATCCATTAATAACTTTTTTCAATAGGCATCTTTAAAATTCTTCTAAAAGAGAAGTATAGTTTGCCAAAATTCTTTAAGAGTTAAAGATAAGCATAATGTGATATTTTATAATTTACCCTGGGTATAAAATATATATGAAAACCATGAGGTATATATATATAATTATGGCTCTAAATCTTATATATTATGCTATTTCAACTAATTATTTTAGCAAACTTACTTGTTAAATCATCCCTATATTATATAATTGGAGCTCTGGTTGCATCCTGCCTAAGGTATTTGATTGCTAAGCAGAGAGCTGGCAGTTCAAGCCCACCAGCCACTACTTGGAAGGAAGATTGGGCAATCTACTTCCTTAGAGATACTGCCTGGGAAACCCAAGGAGAGGTCGCAATGAGTCGAGACCCACTCCAAGGCAGTGAGGTTTTTTTCTTTAGAGTTTTAGATATTATATAATAATATTATATGTACAGATCACATGCCACTCCTCAGAAGGAAGAGTGGGCATATACTTCCATAGTATAACCTCTCTGAAACCCAAGGAGGGGTTTCTATGAGTCATATCCAACTCCATGGCACTCCTTTTCACAGTGCACAGTGCACT